TCTCTCGCTCTCTCTCTCTCTCGCTCTCTCTCTCTCTCTCTCGCGCGCTCTCTCTCTCTCGCTCTCTCTCTCTCTCTCTCTCTCTCTCTCTCTCTCGCGCGCTCTCTCTCTCTCGCTCTCTCTCTCTCTCTCGCGCGCGCTCTCTCTCTCTCTCTCTCTCTCTCTCTCTCTCGCGCGCTCTCTCTCTCTCTCTCTCTTGTGGCAATTTTTTGCACAATTACACGGCCAGAATATTTTCACAACTGAGACGCTCCATAAGCGTCAATCAAACATATTATAATAATGAACAAACTTATTAAAATAACAAACTAAAGAAACTAACATAATCTTTGAGAATAACAAATTTTAACACATTAAAACAAATTAAAACGTGCGCAAGAAACAAGGAATATGTTGTGGAATACGCGAGAGTGGCGATCTCCCTACCCTCAGGCAATTCAAGAATCCGCGCGGAATCGCTGCTGTGACTGTACAGTCTCGAATACATCTCCTGCAGAATCCTAGTCCTCAGCTTCACGATGGATGAACTATCAGCTTCCATATACACAGCCTCCCACTACGATTGTGGGGTGAAGCACTAATGCACACGTGACGTTGATAATGTCCACTACAGTAACACCCGACCACTGGGAATACATAATATACCGATTTTTGAATACATAACGTCATCTTTAGGTAAATACTGCATTAAAATATATACACGTGCACATATGTGATACTGACTTAGCTGCATTTTCTCATCCATGTGTTTCTGTATAGTTCACCATCTCTTTCTCGCACTATCGCGCACACACATGACATATACTTCAAGACACAGCGCTTCCACATCCACCCCCACATCCACATCCACATCCACATGCACTTCCACATCCACCCACTCACAGCAGAACGCGCAGTTCACACGATGCGGGCAGAATACCAGCACACATATTAGAAACGAGGAGCAATGCGGTAAATTAGATTTAACCGCATGCTGGTAGTAGTCATATCACTAGTTTCGCATTATGATACCAGCATAGTTACCCCATTTATTGCTCCTAGATTAGACTGAGTCACATGTGTACATGACGTGAACACATTACGCTCAGTAATTTATACGCATTGGGATGAATAGCAGCCAAGAACAAAATAACTCTAACCTAAACACAAACTATGCAAATAACTGTAGTATAAATCTGCATCCAACCTTACTGGAAACTACTAATGCTAAGGAACTTCACCCACTGCTCTATTAACAAAAGTCACAGTCGTGACGAATCTGTTTGAACACCTGCACTATGGTTCACGTAAGTGGTTTCACTTATAAGGTCACGGGCATTCAAGCATTTCAATAAATGCTACAGTTCCCTCAGACAATGTAAATGAATATGTAACTTGAAATAATAATATTTTCATGCACCTGAACCCTGTCGGTATAATGAGCCTACACACTATATTTTTATGTGTTCTTGTGGATCAGTGTGCACCGCACGCATCCATATACATCAATAACAATATGTGTGTGCGCGCGTGTGTGCGTGCGAGTATGCATGCGTGCATGTGCGTGTGTTTCATATAAATTTCAATGCTGTTTGGCAGTAGCCAAGGCTTTCAGAAAATAATGCATAATAACAGCTATATTATAATTAAATTGCAATTGCTGTGCATTGAGCATTTGTACATCTTATCAGTCGTACATACAAAATAGTACATAGGATTAGCATGTAACCAGTACTGTGCAGCAAGGTTGTAACATTATTGGAACTTTCATATTATATATACTCGCAAAATGGCCGCCTCCGGCGGCCATATTCGCTCGTTACGCTGATGAGACTACGATGATTTCTCTAGTCTTAATCCTGGCCCGATTCATAGTGATCTTTTAGTAAAATATTGACTTAAGACAATAATACAAGAATCCTGTTACTAACATGACATTTTCTGTCCCGGTATATTCATTTCTATATAAAACACTTTGTACACATCTTCTAATCCATTGTTTTTCTTTTCAAATTAAGGCTAATATAATATACGGAACCCGCTTAATACGATTATTTTTCTTTGGCCTCACTTTGTCAGTTTCGTACTAACGGGGTGCGGCTGTAGTAATGAATTGTAGTAATTGA